TTGGGTTTGGTTGGTGTTTTTTTTTTTAAAAAGCTCTGAAAAAAAATAATTATCCTGTTATTGAAAAGCTGCATTTAAAATACTTTGAGATTGTTTACCTGTGATAGAACCCTCTCATGATTTGGAATTCCTTGCTTTTTCTAAATGGAAATTTAATAAGGGTCACTGGTAGCTAAGCAACTAGTAATAGCTATTTGTAAATGCAAAGCTACAGAGAACTATTGTTTAGCTTTTCTTTCACAGCTGTAAGTAGTTTTTTTACTTCATCTTGCTGCTTGGCCCCTGGTCACCAAGGCATTATCGACATCAGTAATCAACAGCTCACATTTGTAATGTAATGCTGCAGAATAAAGGGTACTCTAAACTGGTTTTGGAGAAAGATCGGCCTGGTCTAACAGAATGTCACTGAGACTTTGCTATTCAAGAGCAGATCCAGAAGGTCATGGTCTGTAGTATATTTTCCATTTGCTTTTCACTTTTAAACACAAACATATCCCAGATAGCTTTCATTTCAGTGACTGAGGAACTGGTCTCAGCTTCTGATTTCAACAGGATGTCACTGGAAAGAGGATACTAATGTGACTCCTCAGCTCTGGAAAGAGATCTCCATGCAGAAGGTTACACCTCACTGAGCAACATCCATGGACATAGGAAATGAAGACAAAACTGTATTTCAGCTGTTTCTCCCCCCAGCTCCCTTTTAAAGAACAAAACCAACCTTGCATAAAGTCACCCACTTTTGGAAATTGTGGCTATATTTTCTGGTTCCTGACATCACCTTTCTAGGTAACTGAAACTGCCTGGGCACACTGGTAACCATGTTCTGTGGTGATTTGTGTACACACAAGTTCTTCTAGGCTCAGCCACAGGACAGCCAGCCTACAGCTTGTCCACTTTGCTTGGAGCAAGCATCAGCCTGTAGAAAATCCACACAGTGATCTGAAACTACTCCAGCGTCTTAACACAGAGGAAGTCATGCCCATGTACATCTTCCTTCTACCACAAAGAAGAAAATCCCAGCTTCTTCTGCCAGGTACAGTCTTTCTCTTTATGGAGGGGGAAGAATATGGGCATGTATTTTGTGTGTACACAGATTTTATTCCCCATCCCTAGGAAAGTAACCGGCTTATAAGCATTGCTCTCCTCAATAGATTTTCCTCCTCTAAGAGCAGGAGAGGTACTGGGCAGTTTCTGGAGCTGTCTGCCAGGCAGGAAACAGTGTTACACGCTGGTTAATTCGGAGCAGGACTTGAATAAACAGAGATTTTAGAGGCCTTCTGGGCAGACAGCTGAACCTTCTACCAGTTCTACCTCCTCCGTGCAAGTCTTGACTACTTGTAGAGACCTCACCACAAGTACACTTCACAATGACAGCAAGAATCCAGTCTAGGAGCTTGGTCTGTTTAAAATTCCAGCAGGAAAAAAACCCCAAATAAATCATCCAAAAAACACTAAATCAAGCAGATGTTGGTGCATTGAAGCAGGCAGCAGAGATTAGAGATTCCCAGCTACACAGGAATCTTCACCTAAAGCTCCGTGTAAAAGCAAGGTGGAAAAAACAACGTTTGCAAAATACACTGGAAGCATTGCAGAGCCTGAACAAATTACAAATACGGCCTTTAAATATGTACTGCTTGTCTATGCACATTTACTAGTTCAATTCAGAACACAGACATAAACCCTCACTTGTATCTACAGTTCATGAATACTTCATGTTCATAACTGAGTGGCAAAAAAATAACATTAGCATTCCACTGTCAGTGAAGTAAACGACATTCTCTTTAGAAGCACCTTATCTGCTCTAGAATCCACCTGGTCTTTTGAAAGACCTCACTTTTGCCTTCGCTGTTTTTCTAGCTGATCATCCCACACTGTACCTTTCTTACAATAGCACAGCAAACCATGACTCCTCACTGGACTTTTATAGAAAGCTTGCCTTTCCCCAAGCATTTTCGTTTTCCTTGCAAGGCACCCAGTGTGATCAGAGTGTGATGGTTTGGAACGCTGCTGTCTTTCCACCCCTCTAAATGTAGCCCGTTATCCTATTCTAACTCCAGAGGGTCTGAACACTTAAGCAGTTTCTCTGGAAACCAGAGATTTATACTGCCAAACGGAACAGGAATGCCAAGGCAGCCTTCAAAATATATACCGTAACTTGTAAGAGACAGAAAAATCTAGAAAGGAAGACCAAATGTGCTACATAAGTGAAGTATTTTAAGTTTATCCCTGCCCATGACAGGGAGGTTGGATTAGATGATCTCTGAGGTCCCTTCCAGCCTGTGCCATTCTATGATTCCATTCTATGATTTTAAGTTTTAAATAAAATGAAAGGACTTGTCATGTATGTTCCCAAACAACCCAGAAGAGAGCTGTGAAATTCTAGAGAAGTCCATAGCCAGTCCCAAGGGATGGATATAGGACACTGAAAAAGGAGCTAGTTAATACAAAGAAGTCTCCAGGATTTACAGGATGTCTTGAATCTCTGAAAGAGGTATGCCTCCCCTGGGCCAGCCCTGCTCTCCCCTACTAGACACAAACCTAGTTCATTCTGAAAGAAAGGTGGCCCTGGACATCATTGTAACACCATCAGGCAAGGGTTTTTTTGTATGGAAGTGACTGAGTAGCCAGGCACTGGAGAACACATTTGTCTTGCAGCACATTATTGGTATCTTCCAACCAATTTCAATTTCCCAAGACAGGATCTCATGAGAATCACCTGGGAACTAACCCACTAGAACAGACCATTGACAACATCTCTGTTGTGTGGTACCTCCTACTCCAGAGCTGCTGGCTGCAACTGGAGTTCAGAAATCTTGCAACACTTTCTGTGCAAAAAGAGACTTTCCAGAGAGAATTTCACTCCAGACTGTGCTCAAAAAGAACTAAAACTACGTTCTGATTAACTTACATTGTTTTTTTTTTAATTCATCCAGAGACAAAACACAGCAAAAAAGTTTGTGTGTCTTAATAAACTGCAGCAACATACCTTGTAATTAGTTACAGGACTTTTCTCTCCTTGCCATTCAGTGAATTCGGGTATTAACCACAAAGGTAAATAGGACTGTAAAAGTAGCACTTTCTATACCATTCCGTGCTATAAACGTCTCTATTTAACTGAATAGGAGCTATTAAGAAAATACCTACTATACCAGCGCTCCTTGTCTCTTCCTTTTCTGTGCCTGTTTTGTATCCCACCAGTTTGTCTTTCAGAAGATTTGCAATTTCTATCACATCTTGTCAGAGAGAACCAAACGAAAACATGGGGGCCCAGATGAGCTACAGTCTACAAAGACTGTATTTTCCATTCCTTCCTTAATAAGCCCTGCCAACATCTTCCTTGAGCTGTCTGTCATGACAAGTGAATACTTTTTGCCAGAGGTCACAGTTAGTTCAGCATACATCTGTGCGTGGCAGCAGTTTAAGCTGAACCTCATGCTGAGCAGCCACCATACTCCATTTGGTGTTCTGCAGTCATTTGTGACTGTCACTACCTCTTGATCAATCCAAGCAAATGTGCCACTGGTAAGTTTTGACAATTTATTTTTTATTCTTTTCTTTCATATCAGCATTGTTATTTGTCAAACAGTAGTCTCTTGTACTCAGAACGCTGGGTGCTAACTTCTGCCAATCATGGAAAAACTGTTAACAGCTTCTAGAATCCTTACCCTGGAAGACACACAGTACACCCTGATACAAGATGATCTCTTTGCCAGGACTCTCCCTCATGCTCTGAACAGAGACAAATGACTTTGCAACTACCATCAGAAATCTTTACAGAATCTACCTCCACCCTTCTTTCTTCAGAAGGGAGCTATATCTAATTGTTTTAAAAAAAAATAAAACAAAACAGAAACATGTAATAAACATAGTCTACTTCACATGTAAGGCAATCCTACACCAGATTGTACAAACTAGGATTGCTAACTCCTCTTTTTGGCCTGGCCAACAAATGTAAACTCAGACCCATATTACCACCTGATGAAGACATTTTCACAATGTGAAGATGAATCTCGTGGTACAAAACTCACGGAACAGCGGGCACGGCTTACACATACTGCACGATCACTGCCACGAACAGTGCCACTCGAACAAAACCGTGAAACGCTCCAGCCTTCGATTTGCACTCACGTCAGGAATAATTGAACTTATTGCCTTACCGTTTCGAGTGTCATTTTTGTTTAATGGAACATACAACAGATAAATGAATGAGCTGGATTTCTAAAAGGGCAACTGTAAGCTGAAAATATGGCAGTGCCTTTATTTTACAGTGAAGTAACTAAAGATCCCAGGAGCATAGAAGTGATACTTGATTTTACATAGCTTCACCATGTTTTTAAAACTTTTAAGTGTAGAAAAGATGCAGTTCTGCATGACAGATGTCTAGAATAAAAATTACATTGAAGAAAAATTACATTGTAAAATTTTATCTCACCTCTGTGCATTATTTTGTGCTTTTCTCTCAGATACGTGAGTCCTTTTATTACCTAATGACAAATTAAAGAAAAAATTTTAATTTATGAAACAGAAAAGATAATTGCATGCTTTGCCTGTACAAGAATTCCAACTGAATGCAACATAACAGAAATTCCAACATGTAAACACTGCAAATCAATATTTTGTTTTAATTTATACCTCCAGCTCAGACTAGAAAAACAAAGTCAACCAAGCCCTTACTGGAACTTTTGCATACAGAGCGTGTTGCACAATAGATATGAAAAGGTAACATTCAAAATTTTTTAATGAAGTGTTAATTCTGTTCTTATCCAGAAGCACGGGCTGATACAAAAGCAGAAAATCAAAGCAACACAATAGAATGTGTTACTCATTCCAATGCCCTGAGCTACCAAATGACGACACGTACACAGACTGCTTTTTAGAAGAAAGCAACACAATCTGGTAATATTTCTCTCTTCCACATCCCTCAGTCCTGAAGTGGTGGTTTCCTGGATCTGACACAAGTGTACCCACTTCCAGCTTTCGAGAGCCATGAACACTTACCGCAATGCTAACTTTGCCCAGTATCTGCTCTGGAATTCTTCCAGCCTTTTTCAGTACTTGATCCAAGGAGCCGCCATCCTAACAACAAATGTTTGAATAGTCAAGCTTTAATCGAATTACTCTAAAGCATTTTCAACAGGACTGTAGTCTGGAGCCTAAGTTCGGTGAGAAAAAAAAACTGTTGCTTTTTATGTTTGATATAACACTGTTATGGTGCATATCTGAAAAAAATAAATCATTCCCCAGTAGGAATTAGTCAGTTTTATGTTTATTGTAAACAAACATTTGGCCAGTAACAACATCCACTCAAATAAACACTCCACACAATGATCTTCCATACCAGCATTTCCATGGTTTGCCTCTTGTTAACAAAGTACTGTCCACAAATAGCTGTGGATCAAGCATTAGGAATTTTACAGATTGCTCTAACTTTTAGTCCAATGCAATAACATGCATTTTTTTCTTGGTCACAGCCACCCCATGATACTCTCTCTCCCTCCAAAGACCAAGTAAGGAGGATTGAAGCAACATAGATTTTATGATCCTGATTACAGGGATGAAATTCATGACACTGGAAAAGACAGAGTCCCCTTCCTCAATATCATGTGTGCTCATGGCACCCCATGACTGTAATTAAACTCAGATCCCTGTTCCCCTGATCTCCTGCACAGAGAAAGTTGGTTCTGCATATCCAGGGTGTCTCTGTCAGCTTCCAAGGATGGAGGCTTGATTTGGCACAGCTCAGAGCCAAAACAGGAAGAAATGTTTTTCAAGTTTCATGATAAGCAATGCTCTTGCTAATCTTATTAGGTTAAATAAATTGAACGTATGCACACACACCCCCAAAGTCAAATGTATTGCACTGTTGCTAAGAGCTTTAGAGAAAGAAACTGTAAAAAAACAGTTTATTTTTAACAACTGATTCAACAGTAGGCTCGTGCATAAGTTTTAGATTCTCTAGAACAGAGAATATATTATCAAAGAAGAAATGAGAAAGTTACTTCTCAAATCAAAAAACAATATCCTGTTGTCCAGATCAGCATTTGCTACCTCCTAGCACTCGAGACAAAAACCCAACTTGAGAAAGTAATTGCCTCCTGCCTTAACCTATCCTTTGGAAGTTTTCACCACTCCTTATACATGTAAAGAGAAAAGCTAGAATGCAAGGTTTTATTATTTAAGGACTAAAATCTAAAACTCTTATGAGAAGGAAAGTACATAAAGACAAAAATACATGATCAAATAAGTAAGAGACACTCACATACCACACACTCGACTAAAAACACACCAACAGAAAAGAATGTCTATATAAATCTTTTGTAGAACCAGTCTGCCTTTCTGGACAGTTGCCTCTGCTGCAACACCAGTATATTAACAAAGATTTGATACAGAAGAAAAACTTCCTCCCTGCCCCAAGGACTAGCTCTGATCCTGGAAGAGGCAGAATGAACTTCACCTGCCTAGCACTGGCTGCAACCTTCAGTGTCTTTCAGGAGCAGATTCCAATCCTTTTATCTGTTAAATACCTGCTGTTAAGCAAAGTTATGGATTGATTTTGAATTTATGTTCCTATAAATATCAAATGCTCAAATCTTCAAGTTCCATGCCTTTTCCACCTCCAACTTTTTGTTCGTATTCATACTTATGTTTTGTAACTCACTGCTAAAAATAAGAATTTTGACTGGCAGTAATTGAAAGACGCACACAAGAAAGAGAATGGAGATTCTCATTTAATCTTTTACCCAAAAGGAGACCAAAAACTTCCACCTAATGATCTGCATTAAGCCAACAGCTTAATGGCTTAATTAAGACTACAATTTAATAACCCACCTTCTCTGTTTCATCTCCTATTGATCGATTGTTCCAAGCATAAAAATCTTATACCCAGTCTGACTCAGACCAGACTCAGCACTGAAACACCCGATTTCACACTGCCTTCTCTTACACTGAAGAGATGCCTGCTGTCAGATGTATCATTCCCTGTTCAGGGATTTACAAACCCTGATCACCCCTGTTGATTTTCCCATTGATAAAGAACTCGGATTCTTTAGGCCTTTCATTTCTCTATGGAGTTACACACCACCATCTCTCCTTCACACTCTTAACAACTGCAGATGTGCACTTGTGTGACATTTAAGAACATATTCTGAAACAACACCCGGACAGTCATCTTTAACATCTATTTTCTTCTTATTTTTCACTATTGTTTTCAATTTCGAGAAATCAACTTCTTTATAATTCCCCAACAGTCATCTGTATTTTGGGGTACGCACACCTTCTGTTTGGCTGGCACACGCTTAAAAACTGGATCATGATCACTCGTTCCTAGGCAACCATCGATTTCTTCTAAAAATTTCCGTTAAGAGAAGACCAGAGAAGCATTAAAACAATCACACGTACTTTCCAGAAAAAAATAAGGTTTCTCTCCAAAGAACGAGTTTTGTCAGGGAAATAATGAAAAGATCTTTAGATTTATTTTATTTCAAATTGTTAAAAACTCTACTAACAAGCGAGGCAAAAAATTTGCCTGACCTTTAATTACAGAAAATTTACTTTTAGTGTTTGGTTCCATATGGTTAGAAAAAGGCAGGCAGATGTCGAGAAGAACGTGTACTTTTCTATTAAAATGAAACACAGATAAAAATATTTTTGGCATTAGAAGATCTGTATAAGATCCTTCTGGGCTTGTTCACTTCCTGTGCGCTATTCCCTATGGTTGGGTTTTCCACAAAATGGAGGAGGAGGAGACAAAATATGGATTCATCTAAAGAAGAATAAACGAGATTCTCATTATCGTAGCTACTAAGGACCACACAGCTGTAGTGTCAGAGTGATCTGGTCCATTCTGCATAAACCCAAAACTAAACCCAAATCAGAACAAGTGCCTAAGTAGTACTGGGTCAACATTTTGAAAAAAAATAGACCATGGATAAAGGAGAAGGAACTGAGAGGCTACATTTGTACAGCTTAGACTTCTACAGAAGAGCAGATACTGGAGAAGGAGACAAACCAGATGATATCAATCCCAGCCTCAGATTTTCAGAGTAAATCCAAAATACAGTATTTGATTCCTTATTCATGCAGAAAGGTCTACTTCAACTCAAGTCCTGTTGACACTCAGGTATTGCATTAATGGCCTGTTAATAACTTCACGCCAAGACAGATTTATACATGTGCTTACCATATGTTCCATGCAAATGCTGATTTCTCCATCACTGTAAAAAGCTCCATAAAAGCCCACTATGTATGGAGAGTTGCACTCGTGTAGGACTTGCAGCTCACGAATGATCTGGTTTCGAATAGCTGGCTTGATCTCCAGGTGAATTAACTGTAAAATAATCCACTGGTTATTTCCCGAGTGGCAGAGCACCATTCAGAAGGAACAGGTTGTTCAGAGAGGTTTTCAATACCAAGCTGGATAAGGCCCTGAGCAGCCTGCTCTGAGCTCGAATCCGACTGCTTTGAGCAGCAGGAGGTTGGACTACATGACCTCCTAAAGCCCCTTCCAACCAGAATTATTCTATGACTTAACGGTAAAACAATCAGTCCTTCCTTACTTTTTAAGTGGCAAAGGGAACGGAAAACACTACAACACAGCACGAGAAAGTTGAAAGATCAGCACCCATGAAAAATACTAGATTTAGAGGAAACAAAATGAAGTAGAAGTTAGCCCTAAAATAAACTGTATTATATAAACCAACAGATGTTCTACATGCTACCCAGGCATTCTGCCTCCATGGCATTTGTAAGCAAGACAACCTTCAAACCCCTTTAACAATTTCCTGTTAAAAATTGCCAAAAAAATTCTTATTCTGGCTAGGCGTTAACGAGCAACAGCTATTAAAACATAATCTATTAAAACCACTGACAATGTAAACAACATGTAGGACACTAACGTTTAAAATTTAATAATAAATCAGTAGCAACTTCCATGGGATTACAAAAAGTTACAAGAAGTCCAGACAGTTATGCAGCAAGTTCACCAATGGGACATTTTTTTAAGAGGATACATTTTCATATTTGAAAGCTACAGGAGTAATAGCAACATTCCAAATAAGTTTTACGTATTTTGTCCTTCAATTCAAAATTCAACCAAAAGAAACGTTCAACCAACATCTAAAACAAAACAGAAAAGATTGTAGCTTCCCAACTCAAAAGGGCAACCAAAAAGTTACTATTTTATCGAGAATTCAAATTGTGATTATGACAGGAAAGTAAAATAAAGTACTAAAACTCCTAAAACGTTCTATTTCAGTAACCCTATTTTGAGATACTCATTACGGCATAAAAGATCATTCAAGACAAATAATTTACTCTGCAGAAGGTGGGATTTCCATTTCTTCTTTTCACAAAATACTTATCCATTAGAAACTTTTTGTTCCAGCACATTTTCTTCACTTAGGTTTTTTTATGCATAGCTGAAGCTCTTTACATTGAAGGAAATGCCTAAAGGAAATGTGTCAAAGACATACTGACTCAGAAGCAGCTGCTGAAAAATATCTGCACAGGGGTTTGTAAAGAATTAGTGGAAGGAATGAGTTGAACCTCAAATTAAAAATTTCCCAAACTGAATCCAAGTATAAAGGGGAGACTACACAAAATACTTTGTTCCACTAGACTGGATCTCATACAAAACAAGAAGTGCATTTCTTTCGTGAAAGAGGAGATTATGAAACATTATAGAAATCAAATTTTATATCTGAAAGAAAAATTGCAGCTCGGAAAACACTGCAGTTGCATCAAATATTAATGAATTGGGGTGAAATTTCCTGTTAAACCCACAGTAGGCAGAAAAAAAACATCAATGAAATTGATTTAGTTCAAGGAAACCTCAGCGATTTGTGTATTTCATAGTTCTCACACCTCAGAAGTGGGCATTTTTCTTTGCTTCTCTCCAAACTGTCAGTGTACTGAGCATGGTTATTCTTCAGGTCAGTACAGGCACATTCTCCTTTAGTTTTGCTGAAGATGACAGCGTATTCTACTTAAAAAAACCAACTGAAGCCTTTCAACTTCTCAATTTAAAAAAATGAAGTTTTCAGTGTAGTATAACGATGGGATCTAGGCTGGGTTATGTTTCCCATGAAGCAGAGCAGCGTGCCTGCCACCCCACTCACTGCTGTACAGTGCTGTATGCCCTCACACGCTGCCTTTTAACAAGTGCCACCCGTGCAAGGAACTTCGTGCTTGGAAGGAAGAGGCATGAGGTACCCAAATAGAAATCATCAGGCAGTTATCACAGATGTATTGTCTTTACTGTATTTGATTCCCAGAGGTAGAAAGTGAAAGCTTCTCACAAGCAAAATGAGCATAAAACATCAAGCTATTTCCCATTAAAAAAATAAATCTCAGTTCTCCTACCAACTAGGTCACAACTGCTATTGGTTGTAAAGCACAAAGCTGAATCTTTGAGAAATACACCAGAAGAACAAGTACCTTTTCTCACAGAAGCCACCTGCACTGCATGATGAAACTATAAAACAGGAGGTGTCACTGTACTCCAGTATTCCCTCATTCTATTTGAGTTCTCATTTTTTCCAAAAGAAGGAGGAATGAATGCCTATCCTTTCATTAGTAACACATGAAATACTATTTCTGAAAAACTGAGAAGTTTAGGATAAGCAAGTGCAGCATTTCCTACTTTTTGAAACATATCAACTTCTCTGAAAGTTGGCATTAGAGGGGTTTTTTGTGTATCAACACCACTTATCTCTCTAAACAAAGTCACTGTGTTTCAGAGACAATCTCCTTAATAAAAATCATCCGTAAGTTCCTATTTTTGAGGCACTCACCTTTCTTGCCATTATGAGACCAGAGGGCTTGTGAGATACTTTGAAGACCACACCACCGTTTCCTGCTCCCAGCTCACTGATCTTCTCAAAGTCATCATCCTTCAGCTCTCCAACTTTTTGTTTCTGAGTAAGGAACGCTTCAAGACGCTTTCGTTGCTGTTCATCCAACTCTAGTTCTTCTAGCTTCTTCTGAAGTGCTTCCAAGTTTGTCCTGTATGACAGAGAAAGAACCGCTCGATTATTAAGCTGTTGGAGCTTACCCAGCAGTGTTGCAAGAGGAAAACAACTGAGCCCTGAGCTCAGAGATTAAATCCACTACATTTTCACACCTATACACATTATCCAGAAGGACTCGACTCGTACAGTCATCTCCATGAGCACATACTACTGATTTAACTGTAATTAACTGATTAAGAACTCTGATTTATGTAAACAGTATTTTATTCCAGATAAAACAATGACAAACACAAACAGATGATGCGCAGTTTCCCCATCTTTGAGGTTCTGTCCCAACTCATGCATGTTACGTTTCACGACCTACAGGAGTGGCTTAATGACTCAGCAGTTATGATCAGAGATCTCATGAATCACAGCACACCACTCCTGCTATTTTTAGTTTCACGTTTTCAAGGATTGTGTTGTAATTTCCCATGGAGTTTATCTAAATGTTTAATCTACTGATTTTCACAGAACTCTATAACTAATAATCCATTCAGACACTTCTTATTTAGGTATCCGTAAAAAGTTACCAAGCACAACCAAACAAACATGCATTAAAAGCACGACCACTGGAAACACAGAAATTTTCTGTTCTTTCTTTTTCCTCCAGTTTAACTGGGGAAAAGAAACAGCCCAAAGGTTGAGCTTACTTTTCCTTTTGTTTAAGGGCACATCTACTAGAAAGCTAGGTTTAACATCATTAAGCAATACAAAACAGAAACACAAAACTTTAAACAGTAGTTAAATTTAGGCCTACAGACAGAAGTTCAGTTTCCCAGGAAGATTGTTTTTTAACGACTTCAGATTCAGTGAAAATGCTCAATTCCAGTAACACGACAACTTAGAAGCTCATTTAAAATTTCCCACTTCCAGCTGCAACAGTAAGTTGCTGAAAGAGTATATATTTAACAGCAAATATCTGTTTTGCTTAGCCAAATTTAATGCAGTGTTCCCAGGGAATATCACATTGATAGGATGAAAAATCTGAGGCACAGAATCTACTTCTTTAGAGCCTACAGCACTTCCCATTAAAAATTAACCAATAATCAAAAAAATTACTTCTATTCATCACTTCATAAAGTGTCCACTTTCGAAACACGCTGTACAAAGAGACATTCTCTGAATGTCCAGTAAGGTGCTGGTCAGCTGAGAAGATACAAGGCTGATTCTCCAAGAAGCAATGACAAAAAACATCCCTGGCTCAGCAGAACGACAGAATTACAGGATTAAACCCTCAACTCATTCATTAGAGAGCCTGCATTTCCAGGCAGGATTAACCACCCTGATTTGACTGTATCTAAGGTCGAGACAAATAAAAATGTCAACATTCACAGCTCTTCCTCACTACACAGTCACTCTGAAAGTTTAAGCGATGACCCACTCCTGCTCCATTGATCAGTTTAAACACGTTAGGCAGGATGTAATTGCTAAGCTAATTTCGGAAGTGATACTGCTTAGAAGACCTAAATAGAGGAAACAGAATGAGACCTTTGATGGAAAGGTGAGTTCTGTTCAGTCTGTTATTTTGACATTTTAACAGTTCAATGTACTTATTCTAGTGCAGTTATGCTACCGTGTGTCTATTCTTAATATAAAAACAATTTCATCCTGGTGCAGATGCTTCATTTTCAGGCCATCCTACAAAGAAAAACATACTCTTATTTCTGTCCTTGTACCATGCTTCATACCAGTGTAATCATACTGGAATACAATCATCCAACAAATATGCTAGAGCATCCACAATGAGAAATTTCCCTGTGTAGAGAAGCACAGCTTATAAGAATATTCTAGTTAATCTCACTCATAGAATCAGTTTTCAAGATGAATCATTAAGAGACAGACACATTTTTGAAATGTAATTACTAAAATGCAAAACAAGACAGCAAATTAATCACTGTTTTTTTCCCCCCTCCCTTAAGTGTACAGGAAATAAATCCCAGCCTGAAGGCAAAGTAACGTGTGCCTTTTCTAGAACACGGCTCTTGCAGCAGGCTTGAACAGCAAGCTTTCTACACACACTTGGCAGATACTGCTCAATAAAAACATACTGATTTTATGTAGGTTAAAACATTGCGATTCTTAGGAACTACGGATTACTTTTTATTCTATAAAACCCTACACAACTAGTAGATTCCTAGTATTTTTGAGGCCACTTATCAAGATGAGTGTTGGATGTTATTGAGGAACATCCGAACAACTTACCAGAAATAGCTTTGTTGAAAGAAGTTAAGCATCTCTGAAATACAAATATATAAAACTCTTAAAAATAATATTGCAATATTAAATTCCCTGTTGATATATATGGCCAGATTTTCAGAGGAGCTCAGCAAGCAACACCTTTAGCCCTCTCTGAAGTCTGCATATGGACTCAATGCCAAAACACAATCCAATTCTCCCCAAAAACTGACCTTAACAGGAAATTTCAGTTTCCTTTGAAAAATCTGGTCCAGTAAGCCACAGCAACAAATGATCTTTATTTACAGATTTTGAGAAGAAACTTGCTGTCATTTTAGGGATTACTAAAGAAGGCTGGGCTGCTCATTTGGATAAACAAAGAAACCATAGACACAGAAACAGGATGCAACAAGGCTTTTTTTGCCCTGTTTTGAAGAAAACAACTATTCAATATTCTTTCAAGCAGAAGGGGTTTTCTGGGTTTGGAGACAACGCAGAGATGCTTGAACACATGACTTGGAGAAGAAAAAATGCTAACACCACGAAACAAAACAATGTCATGCTGATGCTTTAGTAACAAAAAAAAATTTGCTAGGATAGCACTTATCACATCTATGGTAGTCTGATTTTCTTTTTTTCTTACGTTGCTCTTTTCAGTCTCAAACTTGGCAGTCACTTAAAACACAAGCACTTCCTTGCTTGAAATTATAAATTATTGTTAGGGTCCTCACTCAAACACTAGTCAGAAGATTCCAAAGGCTCTCATAGATGGAAAAGTATTGGTCCCACGAGTCTCAGCACATAGGTTTCTCCATCGAGAATGCGGCCACCAGCAAAATCACCAGAACATTCTAAGCTCCAATGGCAAAGCCTGCATTAGTTGCAGTGATGTGCAAGACAACAACAGCAATGAAGTTCTCAGATCTCACTTGAATTTTTCAGGACCAATTCTTTAACTGTGAAGTAAATTAATCTGAAGACTCTTTGTGAAAGATATTAACCCCAAAAATGCATTGTCAGAATTTCTATTCAGAACACAACTATAAGCAACTTCTCCAGTTAGTTTTACGATAATTGAATGACAAACATCAGATTGACAGAATTGATTTTTTTTCATTCTGGTCCTTTGCTTGAAGCACTAAATATTAATCAATTTCAAAAGTAAATGGATAAATTAAAAAAAAAGAGTATTTATGTCATCAAAATCAGTGGTGGTAATCTACTCTCAGTATTTCTAGGAGGCAGGACTTTGATAGTTTCCGTTTTGAACTCTAACTACTGTAAGAGCACTGTCCCCTGACCAGTAACTGTGAGTGTTATCTGGACTCTAATGATGTAAAAGCATCATAGCCCAGTTGCAGTGCAAAGCACACCCAGAAATAGGTAGATAAGTAAATCATTGCATGTTAAGTTTTACAAACAAAGCTAAACCAACACATACAAAATACAGGAGAGGGAATGCTTAAGTCAGCTGCTCACTAGGACACCAAAACGTTAAGGAAGCTTTGGCAGCTAAAAGTAGCAGCATGCTAGTGTGCTAATGGCTGCCTCCAGAAGCAGCACTAGTAGTTACTTACTGTTACATAAAAGTTTTACTCAGAGGCAAAGATTCCTATTAAAATTCATCACCATTACCTGCTGCAGTCTTGGAGTTGTTTTTTCACTGTCAAAGTGCTCCGCCTTTGCCAGAGTTCCATCAAAGCAGAAAATCATCAAACCACCTCAGTGCCTCACTGTTCCAAGCACTACTCTAAAGCAATAGGTTATCATTTAATTTATTGCTATCAGTTTTAAGGCCAAGCACATACTAAACATACTGCACTAGGGAAAGCATCCAGCTTTCATAATGTGACCATCTGAATGAAGTCGCAGGGAGGTCAGTGCTGTTTTCTCCACTCATTAAAGGAATTGTAATTTCACAGAACACTATCAATAGATGTACTTACTCAGCAGAAATAGATAAATAACTGTAGAGCTTGCAGACAATACTGCTGCAGAAAGCATAGTGTCTTAATCGCTGGACTTCAGATATAGCTATTAGAAGATCTCTCTCTTCCAGACTAAATAGAAAGTTTTTAAAAAAATATACACCCAGGGCAAGCCTTTGGGGGAGCTGTTTGTTTCTGCCTCCCCCCCCAAGTACCGAGTGCTCTAGAGGGAGAATTATCTCCACCCACACTTGGTCTGGTACGACCTTTCCTATTAAGTCAACATCACTTCTTCCTTTTTGTACTCAAAGTAGTATGTTGACAGCGCAGTGTCCTCTTGGTCACATGGCACTTCTGTAACCTCAAAAGTTTAAAAAGAGGGCAGAACAGAACTTGAATCACAGCCTGGTCTGCTACCAAATGCACACCACCTCACCCCAAAACAATGACCCTCTGATGCATGCAAGGAACCTTCACCTCTGTTGCTGTCCATTTACACTTTGCACAATCCCCAGAAGACAACCGCAATCCCACATCCCAGGGGAACCCACATCCACCCCTTCTGCAGCCAGTTTGTGGAACATCAGAGGTGAGAAAGGTTTGCTGAGGAGAATCACAGCGTGGGATACCAGGAGCTTTTCAGATTCAGTGCCACCTCATCTGTATGGAAGCTCATTTAAGACCTTAGGAATTGTCTCACCTATCCCAGCATCTCATCTCCTGGCAACAGCCAAAAGTGAACACTTAAAAAAAGAATACTTGGTAGCAACAACAATAAAAGAAATTAAGTGCACAGCAACACCTCTAGTTACTGCTGGACTAAGCCTTCTGTTCTTTGCTTCTCAGAGATGCACACGGTCTCACCCACAAACTCCTGAATGGACAAGAT